CGGTCCTTTTACTTTCTTTCGGAATAATATTTCACCGCCAAAACTGCGCTCATCAATCAACTCTGGTGGCCGCTTTTTGTCGACAAATGAAGACGTTTCCGCCGCTCTCGTCCGCGCTCGGCAGTGGATACGAGTTCTCCCGCTTCTCTTTAAAAATGGCGCGGCCTCCGCCATCTCGAATGCTACGCGGCGCGTTACTCTCGTTAGTAAGCCACGGCCAGCGAAAACCGGCTTAAGTGACTTTCTTGCGCCGTAATGCGGTCTGGGCTGCGCGACGTGGCGCCATTGCTTACTCGTCGCGATCCGACAGCCGAAATCCGAGCCTCCTACCGTGGCTTTCCTCGGGGTTTCTTCCCTTTTCTAGAGTCGCGAGCGAAGATCCAAAAATCGCTAAAATTATCTCCAAAAAATCGCCCGGAGTATTTTTAGCGGAAGAGATGGCCGCGGATAAAAGAGGGGAAGAGTGGAGTCGCCGAAAATCTAAGAAAATCAAATTTGGTTCGTCAACATTCGCTAATTCTTAATTCGCATCGTTTGTGAGAATTTCTCTCTGACAATTAAATTTGCCTTCGCCTTTTATTAACGCCCAACTTTTTCGAAAATTTCAGAATTTTCGACTACGACTACATTTAATTCGATTGGCCAAGGGGAGAAACGTAAAGATTTTTAAAAATTAAATTTCTTTTTTTGTTTTAAACCGATTCCCCGTCTTCGATGCGCGCATCTACCCCGTGTTTTAAAATTTATCGGGAATAATTTCCTTTGGCCACCGCCAATTCGGTGCAAAATGTGTCCCCTTTGTGCGGAGGTGACGAAGGTTTTAAAATATAATCCCGACCGCTAAGTGATGGATTGTAAGTTACGCTATTGGCAAAGGAGCAATCTCCCGAAGCTCCCGGGAAACACGGGATACGCTTAGGAAATTTTCGCTATTTTTAAATATAAAAATCCGAAAATTAAATCTTAAAACATTCGCCGTCTTTTAATTTAATCAAATAAAGAAACGGCTTGGTACAATCGGGTGTATGATTGATGAATATTATAATTATTTACCACAATGACAGCACCCGTCCCGTATCGATCGGGCAGTTCTCGGTTTCGTTCTCGATTTTTAACGAGATTTCTGTAACAAAAATGTAACATTTCCTTCTGTCGGGCGGCTCCCCTTTCTCCAGCAAAAAAAGGAATAGGAATTCTAGAAACGACCCGTTAGCTCCCAGCTTCGATAGCCAAGGGGGAAGCGAAGAATCAATGGGTTGTGAGTATGCACGAGTGGAGTCAGTAAAGTATGGGGATAAGAACATCGACTTGCCAAGCTAACATAGGTGAAAACACTCCCTGAAGTGTCATCGACGGTGCGGAGTTAAGTCATTACACTGGATGCCGTCGTTAAAACAGATGATGTTAAATCTAACTGGCAATTCCTACTTTTGTTCTTTATTTTCCACAAGGAAAGAAACTTTTTTTTTCAAAAATCTGATTAATGTTATCTTAACCGCGGCAATTGTATTTGGCTCGTTTGTCACTTTGACTAATATTTAATTAATGAGTGACAAAATTATTTATTTCTGAATTCGTAATTAATTAAAACGCGTCATTTTCTATACTAGAATTTTTCTTAAATATTTCACGTTTATCGCTTAAACAAAAAAGTAAACTAATTAAAAATTCCGCCCGGGAACACGGAAAAAAGTTATGTTTACCGGCAAAAATACGTTTTCTTTATTAAAATAAACCGGTAAATTTTCATTCATTTTCTAAATTAATTGCCTTCAAACAGTTTAAAAATAAATAAAACCGCCAGGTTTCTGTTTACAGCCGTGAACGAGTGTATTTTTTTGTTTAACCTCTGCACGAGGTCATTGCTATTCTGGATTTAGAATGTATTTTATCGTTATTGTTTTATCTTCCATGAATAAGTATTAGTTTAAACCGCACTTCCCCATAGAATGACTCTAGAAACGACGATTTTCCTTTTTTTTCTTCCTTTCTTATAACCCAATAACCCTCAATCTATATAAAGCGTATATAAAGATAAGAAAAACAAAAGTAAAAGTGGCAGAACGGGAAAGCACGACGAACACTTTAACATATTCTCCGGGTTAAAAGTTATGTAAAAAATGAAAAAAACTTTCGAAAGAAGAAAAGAATTTTTGCAAAGTTCAGCTGGTTCTTCCGACTTCGATCTATTTGTTCTCCCGTCAGAAATTTAAATACGGGCGAGAGGACCGAATTACAAAAAAGAAAATTTGGCACACGAGTCATCGGAGTCGTTCGAGTAAACATTGCAACCGCCAAAATTGGGCGGAGCGAAGTTTACAAAAACGATTTCCGAGAGGTCGATGCACGTCAAACGCACCCAAAACAAACACGACTTCTTTCTCGACGTAAGCGGAAACGACGTCGACAATTCGAGTGCCAGAAGCGGATGAGTCATTCAATTTGCAAACGACCCACTTAGCATCGACACAATTAATGTCCGAGTGCCGGCGAACCGAGTTAACGGAGCGATAAGATCCGAATTAATTCGAAGGGGACACGGGAAATGACGACAAAAACTAATAAACACCGGGGGAAGGAGGAAGGAGAAAGAAGAAGCCGACGACGGAATCTTCGTCTCTTTAACGTCGTACGGACAATCGTAATTATTTCATTTTGGGAACGATTTCTCCATTAAATTTATGAAGCTTAAATGAGCATCTTATTATTCGAGCGATGCCGAGCTTAACGGGGAAACGGCAGCGGCCGCTCCTTTCTTTGTAGTCGAGGTGTGTTACACGCTAATTCCGGATTAATATTACGGCCCGACGGTTATTAACTTTAAGTACTGGCAACGTAAACAATAGCTCTTTTTTTGTAAGATAAACAGAGGAAGCGACCGAAAGATACCTAATTAAAATGGTCGAAGGACGACGGTGGACGAGCATTAAGAGGAGTTGGTTTCGTGCCTTCCGCCCTACCGATTTTCGAAATTCAGATTCTTTCTATAGTAAATTGGAAGCTAAAAATGCGTAAACGAAAACGTTAAATGCGAGCGGGAATATCTTTTTATTCCGGGAGATTTCTTTAAAAAATATCGATGTCATTCAAAAATTTCGTCTACGGGCAGACTAGGAGCCGTTGGATGAAAAGATCAGAAAGACGATAGCTTTTCTAAGCGGCAAGGAAAATATTTGAAGGAAAAATCGAACCATAAAATAAGCAGAAAAAAGTAGGCTTTACGGCAGAAATACACCACAATATGTAGCAAAAAACGTGGAGTAAAAAGAAACGTATTACACGTTGCGATGACATGTAATGATCTTGTAGAAGAGAGAGGGGAATCGGAGAAACAAGCTCCGTACGCCAGAGAAAAAAGGCAAACTACTTGTTGAAATAAAATTACATCGGAATCTTCCTCCCTCCATTTGTAAAATCAATTACCTTCAGGTAAAACGGATTTAAAACGGGTTAATAAAATGATTTTCTTTCTCCCGCGCGGACGGATTCCGCCGCATCTTCCCACGTCAGAAAAAAGGAGAAACGGATTTTTAAAAAAGCGGAAAATAAAAGAAAGCGACGAAAAGCCTGGGGCAATTATCGAAATAAAATTAATTCGGTGGGGAAAAGTCCAGGCCGCCAATTTAATACTTAAAAATACGGCCGACCGCTAAGGAAATATCGAGAAGTTAATCTCGTTTTGACATTAGAAGAGATAAAAAATAATAATATCGCGCCCGGTACTTTCCACACGTACTAAATCCTATTTTTATATCTTTATCCATTAAACCCACCGCCCCGAACTTTCCAATATTTAAAAATAGACGACCGACAACGATAAAAGTCCCTTTTTTACATTGGCTTTTAATCACGACTCGAAACCAAATAAATTATTTTCGCATTAGTTACGAAAATCCAATCTTTTACTGGAGAAATAAAAAACACGGCCAGGTATTTTTTCCTTTTTTCGTCGATAAACACAGAAAAATATTTTAAATACGCCACTTTTTAATCGATTCCTTTTAAAGAAAATACGCAAACCGATTAATAAAAGGTCACGCGTTTCGTAATTAAACGTTCGTTTTTTCTAAAATAAATCGAATTCGAAAAAATTATCAATTTCGCGCGTGCTGCGAAGTCGATCATTTAAAAAAAACCTGTCAATTTCAAAAGCACGCGCGCTCACTTTTAAATCCAATCGTTACGTTTTAATTCTTAAGGTAGTAATTTTAAATAGAAACCAAGCCTTTAATTAAATTATTGATTATTTATATTTTTAGTCATTTTAACCGGCAAACAATTATCGAATATAATTTTTAAAAGTCAAAACGTTCGGATATTTCACGTTCCATTTACTTTCAAGTCTTTGATTTTTCGAGCGGGCCAAGTTATTACCTCTTTAATTCAATAAGCGGTTCTAACTAATTTTAACAGAAAGCGTGTCGGCGACAGATACGATTCGGCCAGAAGAGAGAAGAGCGGAGAAAAAAATACAAAGAAAAAAAAAACAATTTACGACGACAATTTATTAAAAAGTAAATTTGATATTTTATCAGCAAACTTCCGAAAGATTAATATCTGGAGCTAAACAAAGACAGAAGTGGCGAAATTAACGTTACTGCGGCAACAAAACGGACAAGTTCCGTTTTCGGTAAGCGATTCTTCCAACGGTCGGGGACCAAAAGTGTGGCTTTTCGGACGTAAACAAATAAAATACGCGATTAGCAAACCCGAGATAACTACGTCATTTACCGTAAATACCGACGAAAGACATTAAACCGAACTACCGGATAAATAACGTCGGCGCTTTCGATAAGGCAAATACAATAAATACTACGCGTAATTCGTAAGACGAAAAGAGCGAGGGAGAGAGGAAGGTAAAGGGGAAAGGGAGATGCCGCGTCTGGAGACGGGTGTAGGCGACACCCCGAATTGAACGCGGGCCAAAGTCGGTCGGAGCGACCGATCGACGACCGGCAAGAGTTGTCGGAAGGACGAGAGAGGAGGAAGGTGGAACTCACCGGGGTGCGAAGGTCCGACGGTCCAGGCCAAGGCCAGAAGGAGTAGTGGAAAGCCGAAGACGAACATCTTCACCCGCGTCCAGGTCACATTATTGTCAAGAAGTGCGCCGAAGAACGACCGACTTTCGTTGGGCTCTTTTCATATGTAACTCTAAACCGCAGCCCGGATCGTCTCGACGCGCCTCTCCGCTTCCACCCGTCTCTTACCGGCCGCCGCGCCATCTGGTGGCCTCCGACCGAAACTCCACGGGCTAACCGGCCGCATCGATCGCTTTCCTAAATACGAATCTGCGGCGCGGCTAATTATTGTTTGGCGCTTATTCTAATTTGTTTGGCTCTTTCCGCAGTCGCAGTTTTAACGCTTCGTCGCATTCGCTTCTCTCCTTCGCGCCGCGCGCTCCCTTTCTTCCACCCCTCTCCCAGTCGCGCTTTGTCATTTTTTTCTCTCGCTTACGTCACGCCACGGTAGAGGCATTCCTACGCGTAACGCTGGCGGTGACGGAGTGTACGGTACGTATCGACTCCGCTATTTTCTCTTTGCGCGTTTACCCGGTACTTTACGCCGATTAAAGACATTCTGGCGATTTTTATCGGTCCGCAATAAATAAGGATGCGCGGCCGTAATAAAAACTAATTCCGCCCGTAAAAGTATAATTTTTAATACGTTTTACCGGTTTCTTCCCACCACCGATTGTCACGGACGATTGTTTCGGTGTTATTACGATAAATACGTAATTTTTAGAAAAATTGAGTTATGAATGTACTTAATAAAAGGCGTTAATTAAAGGGAATAGAAAAAGAGATGCGCGTGTGGGGATTTTTCTCTCTCGATTTACGGCAGGAACCGGAACTCGACTCTAATGGAATAAGCGAGTTTCAAATGGAGAAAAAATGAGTTTTTTTCGATGAAATCGAGAAAGTCGAAAAAATAGAAAAAATCATTATTTTTAATGGGAAAAGTTAAAAGATGATGATTTCTTGCCTTTGGTTTTTCTTTCCATTTCCAATCGTATTTATAAAAGAAAAGATCCAGATTGAAACATTAAAAGAAATTTTAAAATTAAAATAAGATTTTTCCATTTAGCCTATTAATAAAGTCGATTTTTTTAAATTTCATTTAATAAAATTATTATTTTATATTCCAATAAATATATAAAATCTTATTTTTTCGTCTCTGTTTTTCGTCTTGGTTTTTTCTTGATTCGTTTCGGATTTTATCCGGAAAATAATAACTTAAATTGAATTTAAGGTAAACTTTACTCTATATAAAGTGAATTCAATTACGCCCCGTCCCGCGAGATTGGACATGGAGCCGAGTATAAAATTCGATGACGAGTCGCGTCGTTCGACACAAATAAAAAGCGATGACGTCGAAGAAGAGTCGACAAATCTTCTTTGACAACGGCTCCACCCGACGGGCGAAGGCGGGGAAGGCTCCCTCCTCGGCAGTCGCCGGTACTACTCGGTCGGATGACCCAAAGGGGTCGGACGCCATTTATAAGCGGCGCGACCCTCCTTTCCCGCCATCGATCGGGGTGATTTACGACGACGTATCGCCGGTAATGAATGAGAATTCAGATTAATCGCTTCGATAGAATCGATGGCCATTGGAGAGTTGTCGGCGATAATTTTTCTCCGGGTCCACCCCAAAGGTAAATCCGTTTGTCATCGATCCCGTTCGAAGAGGATCGAAGGATTCGATCGCCAATTTCTCTGCCTCCTTTTCTTCCGGTTTCGCCTTTGGATATCGACGACCGATCAAACTTCTGCCGTATTACTCGTAGGAAATGGCTGGCCCCGCCGTCCATCGGACGATAATTTAAAGCCAGTAGGCAAAAATCCACCCGGTGTACGGTACGTTGGCATTACGTCCCAAAAAGTTATTTACTATACAAAGAAGTCGCTTATCGAACACCTCTTTTCTATACTGGAATGCCACCGTATTGAAATATATTACGTAACTCTCCGGTGTCTTTCAAAACGCTTTGGCGATATTGTTTTTCTACAATATATTTTCATTACGCCGTATCTTCGCTTATCTGAACAACCGAAAGATAAAAGCCAAGAAAATACAATAACCGAGAGACAAAACAACTTCCTCCTACAAAACAAGCGTCTTCCCGGCCAAACACGGAATAAATTCTAATTGTGGGTCCGAAATTTTAAAGAATTAAATACGGTAGACCCACTTAAATTTAATTATTATAATTTTGGCCCGTTGGACGCCTGGATACGGTACGCTTCCGGCCACGAAACTTCGATCGACCACCGTGAAACTTGCGGAAAATTGGAGCTCGACTTACGACGTCTCGCTTAACGACGGTTTGTCGGGAATCAATTAGTCGGTAAAAGCGGGGTCTACCGTAAACATAGTTATAATTATTCGTTTTCCAGACATAAGAATTAATTTCTCGGATAATTAAGTGTCTAAGACTCGGTTATTACCGGCGTAACTAAATATAGAACTCGACCGTAATTGGTTACTTTCGGACGTTTTGAGACCGGAGGAGTGATTAATGAAGCGAGATCGTCCTTTCGTTATTAATTTGGAAACATTGTTTAACGGATGTTTTGGCCAATTTAAAAAGAATTTATAGATTTTATGTCAATTTAGTGTTTAATTTTGATGGGGAAGACGTAAAGTCACTATCGGCTTTATCCGCTGGTCGGCGTAAGACGTAGCAAATTCCGGTCACGGTTACAATGGTTCCAACGAAACTTTCCTGTTGCTCGGCTGCTAACGAAATAAAAATTTCATTCTCAATTAAGAATAATGGATTACGCGGACGAGTTTCGTTTATTGCGACAATTAAGTCCGTCGGTGATTGATCCGCATAATTAGCATTAATGGAAAAGAGAACATTTGCATTTTGGGTGCAACCGATAATGCGATTCCGATGTTTGTCCATTGTTTATTGTAAGTCTGCACTTTTTCCTTTCTTCTTCTCTTTCCATTAATTATAATGAACGGTTAGTGCCTTTATCTTCTCGTTGTTTTGCCAATGACGTCGATCTATCCCACCGGCCGCTAGGGAAATTCTAGCGTTGACGAAATTCGAATTTCGCAATTATTCCGAATTTTCCTCAGAAAGTAAATTTTACGTCGATTCTATTTAGTCCGTACTTCGAAACATTTAAATAAATTGCAATATTTCTGGAAATTATTAAAAATTCTTTTGATTTATAAATCTTCGATGGATATTATCGGGTCCGATGGAAAGTATTACAATACGAACGGTTCGCATCCGCAAATTTGTTTTAATCCTCGGAGGGATTCGTAGAGTGGAGAGAGAAATTTAACAAATTAGAAAGCGAGAGTAAAGTAAACAAAAGTCATTCTTAGATTAAATTAATTATAATTAGCGGATATCACTTTTATTATTTTACAATTAATAATATTTGTACGAGATGTTGCGAAAATCTGCGCAGTCGAGGGAGGGTTCGGCAGTTCTAAAATGTTCACGGATACTTAGAAACAAGGAAGAAAACTGTCGAAGGAAATTTATCCTTCGGTAGGAAAAGTCGACCAGGAACATTTATTCTTCAACGGATAGAACTTAGTAAGACGTGGAATGTTTCCCGAAACTTATGGAACACTATCTGTTACGGAATATTTTCATAATGACTGGATTTTCAGCTCTGACATTTCTAATATCGAGAAATCCGAAATCGCGTTCGGCCCGGGATTTCGAGAATACAGTTGAAACCGCAGCGATTGAAACCTCCGTGAAGAACCATTGTATATCTAAATATATAAAATTGCTTGTCCTGACTGACTGACTCACTCATTCACTCACTGATTTATCATCGCCCAGAGCAGACCGCTTAACCAAAAGAGGTGAAATTTGGTAGACAGGGTATGCCATGGGATTGCACACTAAGAAGGGATTTTTCGAAATTCTCCTTCAGGGCAGAGGGAGAGGATTTAGTCTTCATCGAGTACTTAGGTGTATTAAATTACTAACATTTTAGACATTGTTATAAATATTTTTATCTATTTCGATTTTTAAAATGTTCGAACCTTTTTAGATTCGAATTTGTTATTGTGTATTGGTTCGATTATAGAACGATTGTAAACGTTCCAAAAAACTGATCAAATTTAAAATAGTTGGTTTGATTCTCGTCAATTCTCATCATTGTCAGCGGTAGGTGTTATATAACAATTACTACGGTTGTTGAAATACCGAATATAATTAGGGTTTGCTTGCAAAACCTCTGCGGACCAAGTCGCGGGTAACAGCTAGTCTTATAATATAATGGAGATGGGTTGGTAATGATAATAATAGCAATAATGATAATAAGCGCAGAGCCCAAACGGTTAGGAGTTGAAAATTGAAATTTGGTACACACTTAGGATACGTCACGAGAATGTACTGTACACTAAGAAGGGATTTTTCGAAATTTCCCCTCCCCCGCGAAAGAGAGGGGGAGGATTAAGCTTATCCTAAAGAACTCGGCTTCTACTGCACTATTTTAGATTCGTTTTTTTTTTTTGCGTTTTTGACCGCGTTTAGTGGGATATGTCGTGAGAATGCGCATTAAGAAGGGATTTTTGGAAATTCCACCTCGAGGGAAGAGGAGGAGAGAGTTAGTTTTAGTCAGTATAAAGTGTAAATAATAAAGAAGGAAAGTAAATAGTGGCAGATATAGAGTATATTTTGGCAATTAATAAATATTTCAATCATTTTCACTCTTCTGGAAACCCAAAAACAATAAATCCAAAATAAACGAATTCGAACGAATATTTGAATTCGTTCCAAATTCGAAATTTAATGTTCCAAACAATTTTTTTAGATTAAAAAATTTAAAATTAATCATTTTATTCGAGTAAGGTTATCATCGAGTAAGTTAATTCTCCGTTATAATGAGAATTGACTTACTTGCCCGAGCAACGCCGGGCTTATCCGCTAGTATATACATAATTTGTTACCTTTGTTAGTAAGTAGTAAGAAATCAAAGTATCTTTCGTGTTTTTTAAACTTTTCAGCAAATGGCGACGTTTCTCACAAACCGTTGTTTCGCGTTTGGCAAGGGGCAAGCAGAAAGCGACACTGGCCGAAGTAATCGTTAAAACTGAAGTCATTTAGCTTCTCGCTGTTCTTTCTTCGGTTTTCATCGCTTTTGTTGGTTTATAGCTGTCTAATTACCGAAGAACAATTACACTCGTC